GACTGTTGGAGTCACCAAATTCCTGAGCTCTAGGAGCTTGGCGGAGTTGATGACGGCTGTGGTGAGTTCGTAATGCTCGCGGTCGCACGCGTAGGCGCGTGAAAGGTGCTACCCATGATGATGATGCCATTCAATCTCGGCATCTTTAGCTTGAGGTAGGTGTAGTTGGGGATTGCCATGAACTTGGCGTAGCATGGCCGCCCCAAAATGGCATGGTAGGACCCTGGAATGTTCACTACCTCGACGGTTAGGACCTCCGAGCAGAAGTTAGCACGGTCGCCAAACATGATGGCCAGGTCGATCTGCCCGAGTGGGTACGCCCGTGCCCCTAGGATTACGCCGTGGAAGGGAGAGCTCACTAAACAAAGCTCTGACCAAGGGATGCGCATGGCATCGAGGGTGTCGACGTAGAGAATGTTGAGGCCGCTGCCTCCATCCATCAGCACCTTGGTGAGGCGCTTCTTATGGATGATGGGGTCGACGATGAGTGGGTAGTGACCCGTCGGGAGACATGGGAAGGATAGTCTCTCTGATCAAAAGTGATCGGGGAGTTCAACCAGCTAAGGAAAGAGGGGATGGCCGACTCAGCGATGCATGCCTCTCTATAGCATACCTTGTGCTAGTGCTTGGAGTGGATGGCGTCGGATCCCCCAAAGATCATGAGGCATTCCTCGGGGTCAGGGAAGCCATCTTCATCCTTGCCCGCCACGCCTTCTTTCTTGGCCTCCTCCTCCTTGCCTTTTTCTTCCTTTGGCTTGGCGGCTTGCAGGAAGTGCTTGAGGAGCTCGCAGTCATTGTAAAGGTGTTTAACGGGATAGGAGTGGTTGGTACATGGACTCTCCATGAGCTTATCGAAGTGGTTGGGCTAGCCCTGCTAGGGCTGCTTGCCCGCTTGGTCAGCCGTAGCGACCAAAGCTGGGTTGGCCAGTTGACGCAGATCCTTCTTATTCTTCTTGCCCATTTGTGTGGAGGGGCCCTCGACTTGGTCCTCGTGCTTGGTCTTGCCCCTATCCCGCCCGCCACTGAAGACTGCCCCGATTGCCTCCTCGCCGGATGCATAGTTCATAGCGATGTCAAGCAGGTCGCGGGGGGTACGGGGCTTCACACAGCCGAGCTTGTGGATCAAGGACTTGCAAGTTGTCCCAGAGAGGAACACGCTGATGACGTCCGCGTCGACGACATCAGGAAGGGAGTTGCACTACTTTGAGAACCTATGGATGTAATCCCTCAAGGACTCATTTGGCTCCTGTTGGCAGCTCTTGAGGTCCCAAGAATTCCAGGGATGGACATACGTCCCCTAGAAATTTCCAACGAAGACCCTCTCAAGATCTGCCAAGTCGCGGATGTTGTCGGGTGGAAGGAATTCGAGCCATGCTAGAACATGCTCTCCCACACAGATGGGGAGGTATTGGATGATGAAGTAGTCATCATCCACTCCTCTAGCTCGACAGGCGAGCTAGAAGTCTTCGAGCCATATACCGGGGTTTGTCTCCCCGGTGTATCTAGCAACGTTGGTGGGCGGTTGAAGGCGCTGTGGGAACGGCCCTTTCTGTATGCGACGACCAAAGGCCCATGGGCCTAGGCCATCCGGGCTAGGGCTCTGATCGTTTGGTCAGCCACCATGCCTAGGGTGCGTGTCCCCACACTCCTCGATGGTCAGGCCAAGGCCCGTGTCGCCTGCTCTCGCCGCCACTCGATGGACGTCATCATCGTGCCACGCATGGCACTGATTGTTGATGACGCTACGAGCATCACGGTTTGGCCTGAGCTGTTCATGCACAGGTGGTCATTGTGGAGCGGGCACCGAGTCAGGCCACGGTGCAACCACGGCTTCCCACACTGCTCCCGGCAATAGCAGTGGTGAGTGGACAGAGCGATTTGACTAGTGCGGCCCTAGTCCTCTGGTTGGTCAAGAGGCCATGAGCCAGTGTCGCGACACGGAGCTCTCTGCCAGTTGAACAGCGGCGGTCTCCACCAGCGCCCAGAGGTTCCGGTGGATTGCCTGTTCCTAGGGGTCGGTAGGCTCGTGGAGGCCACGTAGAAGCATCGTCACAACAGCGATGTTCTAGCCAGCCCAAGTGAACTAAGGGGGGTCATTCCCTTCATCTAGGATATTACGCTGGACCTGACATGCGTGACCCCGAGCGCCACTCACCGGGTAACGCGCATGTGGCGCAGCATGCTGTGCCGAGTGCGCCGGCGCAGGTGGCGGCTGGCTATGTTGCCTTTGTCGTAACTCCTCGCCGTGCTCCTGCGCACGCGCCAGGGCCTTCACACAGGGGTCCAGAGGGGTGTCGGTCTACATATACTCCACTACCAACGGTGGCTGTCCTGGGATGTCCGCCATAGCACACTCCTAGGACAGAGGGTGGCCAGGTGCCACAACGTCGCCAATGCTGGAGCCGTCACTTTCAACCTCGTCATCGACGAGGTCGTGAAAAGAGGTAGGATCATAGCCCGCCATCCCCACGAACTCGGATGGGAGAGGGGGCAGCGTCAGCATCCTTTGGAGCCCCCACACGCACGTGTCCACAGGGGACGTGAAGCTGTAGGGGAACTAGTCGCACGACAGTAGTGATGGAGACAATGGGGTCCCTCTAGAGAGTCGGCGAAAGGTGTTAAATAGTGAGTAAAGAACAATATGTACATTTCTAATCGTGAGGTTTGAGCCCAGCATGGGCTCGAGGCGGAGCGCAAGTGTCTCGATGTTGGGGTCATCGAGTGTCCTCAGGCTGATGGAGGGCCCTCCTCCTCCAGTGGACGCCGGGACGAGCGCCTCCTCGTGGAGGTGGAGTACGCCGAGCTGGTCAGCGACGAAGTCCAGGCTCCCGAAGAGGAAAGTCTATAGCGACACCAAGACAGGAGGAACCCACATCCCAATAGGTGGGAGCGTGGAGAACTTCAGTGAGCCAAAGTGAATCATATCGCTCGAGCCCACCATGCCAAAGATGGTGGAAAGGTGGGCCATCCAATGACCAAAAGCGTGAACGCACGGCGTCCTCCCCACGGACGGCGCCAACTGTCGGTGCAAAAAGTGACCAACAGGTAAATATTTGTTTTTTTGCCATGCGTTGTGATCGGATGTGGTCTAGCACGCGATGACATAGGATTTATACTTGTTCAGGCAACATGCCCTACGTCCAGTTTCAGTCGGTCGGTGACTTTATTCCTGAGCCCAGGTGCTCGAAGTTTGTTATGGGATTACAAACGAGTAGGAATGAGAAGAGGGTGTTAAAGGCCCGGTCAGACTCTGAATCAAATGGCCGAGAGTGACGGGTGCTCTAACGTGGGCTAAGTATTGGAGCGTATGTTCTGTGTAGCTGTCGAGTTCTCGGGCTATTGAGCTGTTTGAGTCCTTAGGTCATCGAGTCCTCGAGTCATCTAGCCTCTTTTTTCTTTTGAGAGCCAGCCAGCTTTTAGGAGAGAGCTCATCCCCTTTTATAGTTGAAGGAGATGGCCTTACAAGTCAGAGAGAGAGAATGTATACGTGTGGTATCTAGTCTTGTTGCCCACGCTGTCGGGTACGAGATGGTCATCGGCTTCCACAATACTGTTTATGTCCAGACGCATCCGGCAGGCTCTACCGTGTTCGCCTGGTACGGCAAATGTCCACGCCTGCAATACTGTTTGTGCTCTGACACGTCTAGAAGGTTGCATAGTGCCCGTCTAGCATGGCCTAGTGGCATCGTCTTGTAGGTGCGCAGGGCATGGCAGGGTACGGTCCTCGGTATTGCGGTTGACTTGAGCGGCTTACCTTATCCGCTCCTGCTTGATCCTAGGGCCCTCACCGAGCGGGCATCCCCGGTCGGTCGTTCCTAGTCGACCGCGACCGTGTCTGTCGGGAAAGGGCAGCGAGCAGAGGTCCGGCGTTTCCTCGGTCGGAGAAAGAGGTCGGAGTCGGACCACGGTTCCACCTTGGCCAAGCCCTCCGGTCGGGGACCGGATTGTTATCCCGGCCTATCATTATGTATCTGGGCCGGTCCAAGCGCGTGTTGTCGCTGCACCGCCTGCTGGGTCGGGTTTTACAGGGAAGCGGGTCTATTGGGGACCCTGGGTTTATGAACCCGACACAAATTTTACCTGTCCGATGAATGGAACAAACAGAGCAGGCAACGTTGGAGGCGAAAAGCTCTAGTCAAACTTGCCAGGCATGGCGGGTGCTGCGGCCTTATAGCCGGACACCAGCCCCTCCCCTCGTCCCTTTCCAAGGGCCACTGCTCTCGACACTTTGAGGTCCAGCGGCAGGGATCGGGCGGCCGACGAGGAGGGGCCGGCTCGTGGACGCCGAAGCAGGGGCCGGGGTCACGCCCGAGTAGAGCAGACCTGCCACGTGGACTGCAGGATCGACAATGAGGTCGTGGTGCGCCAGGAGCAGGAGGACGGGGTCGTCGGGCGGGCGGTCATGCATGGCGGAACACGGACGCCCGCCAGCGGCTCGGCGAGCCTGGGCAGGCGGGCGTGTCGCGGGCGTGAGGTGGGGGCGGCACGTGGGGGCCAAGGTGGGGGCGCGCTTGCAGGGGGGGGCAAGGTGGGGGCGGTGCTGCAGAGGGGCTTTACGGGCTGGCTCGGAGCGGCTCACGTGGAGGACCGGGCGTGGGCATGGTGGTGCGGCATCGGCGGTGGGCGGAGAAGGAAAGAGAAAGAGGAAGAGGAAGAAGAGAGAAAGGAAATGGAGCCCACATGTCAGGCAGGCACGCCGCCAAAGATGTAGACGCCGAGCTTAGCGCCAAGATCTATGGCGCTGAGCTGGCTGCCACGTTTGCGCCACGTCTGCCTCAGCGTCAACGTGGGCACAAGACCTAGGCGCCAATTATTATGGCGCTGACACGTGTAATCTTGGCGTCAATTATTACGGTGCCGAGCTGAGGTTCTGTATTTTGAAAGCATGCCTCGTGGGTATTTATTTGAAAAACTTTGAAAAAAAAGGGGAAAAAACAAAAAATTCGGTCTCATTTTCCGCAGAAAATAGGCTCCGCCGTGCTCGTGCTCCAGCGAGCTCGATGGCCATGCATCCCGGCGCCGGCGCCGGCGCGCCCCCCGCGTCGTCGGTCCACGGCAACGTTGAGTACGACGACTTCCACTGGGACGACGCCGCCGAGGCGGAGCTTCAGGCCATCGAGGCCGCCTACGCCTCGGCTTCCGCCTCCGCAAAGCGCCGCCGCCTACCCGACTGGACCTACCCATCCCCTTCCCCCTCCTCCCGGCCCCGGTACAGCCAAAGCCCGATGTCCGGTGGATCCACGCCGTCATGGGCCCTCACGCCCCACACACCCCAAGGTGCGCTCCTGGTTTTATCGCCTTTCCCATTCCCCATTTCTGGCCTAGCGGAATTAAAGAACCCTCCTGCTTCTTGAAAATGGGGGCAAGAAATTGCTTTTGCTAGCAATTCGCCACGCATTGGGTTTGGATCACAACAGATTTTGAAAATGCGGGCTAAGAAGTACCTGATCCCCACCGCCGTGTCTTAGGCGCGTAAAAATTCATTCTTTTCTGGGTTTTGATCACATGGCTTCTTGAGTTCTTGTGTAACTGAGATGGGAATCATTTTCCTCTTCATCCTGATTACAGGCAATGTGAGGGCAAGACGCCAACAAATATCATTCAGCGGTAAGATAGTTTACTGCAGGACACCTTCAGAGGCGGAGAATGCTGCAACTGACATCTTACACAAAATTGAGGGGATGAAAGCGCCCGGCCAGGTTTCTCTTGGGTTTGATCTCGAGTGGAGGCCCTTTCCAAGAAGAGGTTTGTTGTTGGAGTCTTCACTATATCTAAATCAAATGAAGTTTGGCCATTCCTCTTTTGTGAACATGTGGTAACTTCTTTCTTGCAAGTAGTTCCATCTGGTAGAACATAACTGGAGCTGTGGTCTTTGCAGGGGAACCACGTTGTAAGGTTGCTGTAATGCAACTATGCATGGAGAAAACTGTGTGCTATGTCCTGCATATTGCTCACTCTGGGGTACCACCTATACTGAAAACTCTTTTGGAGGATAGTTCGTCCATTAAAGTCAGTGCTTTTGCTTGTTTTTACCCTCATATTTTTTCCATTATTTTTTACCTAGACACTATGCTCTAGTTAAATCATGTTAGTCACGGTTCTATGTCTTTTCAGGTTGGAATATGCATAGACAATGATGCAAGGAAAATGTTGAATGATTATGATGTCTGTGTACAACCACTGATGGATTTGTCAACCCTGGCAAATGTCAAGTTAGCTACTCCTCCCAAAAGATGGAGTCTTGCTTCTTTAACTGAAATGATCACATGCAAAGAGGTATATTGATTACACTAAGTATTTATGTCTTTTGTAGCTCCATTAGTAATGTGTGTGGGCGACAAAGTCCAATCTCTGTTCAATTTAAATTTGTGCTCTATTTGTGAATTACACTATCCTGAAAATTCCCACTTTGTAGCTTGTTATTTCTTATTTGTTAAGTTATAGATTTGGTAGGAAGAAACCCAAATTACTTTCTAAATGCCTGACGCTAACTGTGAACTTGAAAATCCTTTTGGTATGCATGTTTATTTGGACTAAAAAAGATCAACGTCGCAATGCACTTTATCATATGTAGCTTTGTTGCTTGTCTGTAGTTGCCGAAGCCGAGCAACATAAGAATGGGGAATTGGGAGGTTGATGTTCTCTCCAAACAACAACTTCAATATGCTGCTACAGATGCTTATATCTCATGGTATTTATATGAGGTACATGGATAAAATAATCAAACTAATTTTGTTCTCATGATAGCCTTTTATTTCTCCTTGATGTTGATAGCCATTAATACTCTTCACTAGGCACTGCAGACTTTTCCAGATTATACTGCTGAAGCTGAAACTGAGTCTGTAAAGGCACAATAGCCTCAAGTGGACATTCTATTGGGAACTGTAGTGTTAATCTATCAGACAATGCCTGGTGCTCTTTATCTTCACATCTCAATCAGGTCAGAACCCTGGATTCCCAGTCTTGTACCCATACAGTAGTTTTCATTATCACCTCTATGAAGCTGTAGTAAGTCCTTATAACTAGAAGGCATTTGTGTTCATGCCCCTACTTTGAAGGACAATTGTGATTTTGCCCTTGTTAATTCAACTTTGTGATTTTGCCCCCGCTCTTTCAAAATGAAGATTGAGTTTGCCCATATTCTGTTTCATTCACTTAACGGTGTCAAATCAGCTCAAAAAAGGCAAGTTTGCCCCTGCAGATCTTCCCCACCTTTTCTGATTAGTTTGTGGTTTCACCCCTGTTTTGATATGAAACATTTAGATAGCATTTTGATAGATTTTTTTTTGAGCGAGAATACAGCAGGGGAAGCCCCCACTGTAAGATTTTTTTTTATTAAATAAAAAGAGGAAAAAAGAACAAGTCTGTACAACTATACAACAGCCACCAAAACAGAAAGAGCAACAGGTCTAAGGATGATGGAAGAGGAAGAAACTAAGCTAGGGAGTCTATACAAAGAGAGAAAGCCGGTCGTTTAGCATCACTGAATCTCAAAGCTTGCAGTTTAGCTTCCTCCATGAACAGGCTCTTCCAAGAACTAAAGGAGGGACGTCCTCTATCAAAGATGAAGTCATTTCTTTGCTTCCAAATTTGCCAGGCTGCGATGGTGAAGATCTCCATGAAAAAAGGGCTCTGAAAATGCTGCTTTGCCTGTGATAGCATCTGAAAGAATTCATTTGCATAGTTCCACTGGATACCCAAATACTGCCAACACTCTTTACTGAAAGGGCAACTAAAGAACAAATGAAAAGCAGTTTCTTCCACATTATTAGTGCAAAGAACACAGTTGTAGTTGTTCCCTTCCAACTTATGTTTTTTCCTCTTTAGAATGTTTCTTGTGTTCAACCTATCCATGAATAGAAGCCATGAGAAAACTCTCAGCTTATTGCAACACTTGGAATCCCAAATCCAAACAAAAGGGGCTGGGGGCTGAATGTTTTTGTAAGGAAAATTGTAGAAACTAGACGATGTATTGATGTTGCTTCCCCAGATATATCACCAAGAATCTTTTGAGTCCTGCTGTACTTGGATTGTTTGAATGTATTCTTGGAGGCTTTGAAATTCCTGATAGGCTTGCTCAGAGAGGGGGAGATGAAACTGAGACTCCAGGCTGTTATTTAGCAAGAACTGCGAAACTGAAATCCTCTTGTGTTTGGCGAAAGAGTAAAGCCTAGGGAACTTAACTTGCATAACATTGTCATTCCAGAGATCAGACCAAAAAAGGACAGTGGAGCCATCTCCAATCCTGCAATTAGCAATACCTCTGAAGAGATCACATAATTTTAGAATATCCCTCTACCAAAATGACCCCTTGTCAGTTGTTGCATGGGGGATTTCACCATCGGAATAATGAGAAAACCAAACCCAGGGGATTTCCTTTTTGTTATAAAACTTGTCCAAGTGTTTGAGAAGGAGAGCAGTGTTTTGGCTTCTGAGGTTGATAATGCCTAGCCCACCCTTTCTTTTGGGCTTGCTACATTTTTTCAATGCAACCAGTGGCTTCACTTTAGCGTTACTGTCAGAACTTCTCCATAAGCAGTGTCTTCTGGTTCTGTCAATGTAGTCAAGGACTGATACTGGAAGTTGTAATGTGCACATGGCATAAGTTGGTAGGGAAGAGATAACTGAGTTTACTAACTGCAGCCTACCAGCATGAGATAGCAGATTTGACGTAGCAGTAAATCTTCTTTCAACCTTATTCATGATGAAGCCGAAGTGCTCAACTCTGGGCTTGGTGGTACTCATTGGTAGACTAAGGTATGTGAAGGGAAGTGATTCAAGCTTGCAGCCAAAGACTCCAGCCAATTGCTGTGCTTTTTCAGCGGAAAGGTTTAGAGGCACCAAACAAGATTTTCTGTAGTTAACCCTGAGTCCAGTAGATTGAGAAAAAAATTAACCCTGAGTCCAGTAGATTGAGAAAAAAATTCAAGGAGCCCTTTGAGGGTGAAGAGCTCACGTTGTGATGCTTTCATGATCAAGATGGTAGCATCGGCATATTGGATTATAGGATAGTTAGCCATTTCGGTAACTCAAACAATCCATCTCTATGACCTCTGTTGATAATGCATTGTAGTAAGTCAGCAGCCAGCACAAAAAGGAGGGGGGAGAGTGGGTCACCTTGCCTGACCCCACGTTTACAATGAAAGTGTTTACCAGGGACCCCATTGAGGAGATTTCAAAATCTTGTGAAAATGTATCAAGCTATATCATCAATTGGTCTATAAATCTGGTAATTTACACAAGTAGACGTCATCAATCAGTCTACATCTTCACCTATACATCTATCTCCCTAATAATAAAGTGAATAGCTTTCTTCTTCCATGCGTGTTATGTGGGCCTATTTATGGCACCCCATGCCTGACAACGTATGTCGTAAACCTCAGGTGCGAGTAGACATGCAAGCTGGATACAAACGAGTTTGTGTAGGACACCATGAGTATGAATAGGTGTCCAAGGTACTTTGTTTGCTAACACCCATGTTGGTTCCCTAGCTAGAACCAGAAGTACAATCAACGGATTTTTTTGTAAAAAATACATGGGCTTGCCTAAAATTTGACCATTAATTTAATTCTATCTGAAGTATAAACCATTGAATAAATCATTGAGCCACAAGTTGTCCTGGTGACCGCGCAACAAGCTGTACATTCCGTTGCAACACATGGGCATGTTTGCTAGTTGAGAAAAAAAAGAAAGAAACATGAGAGCAGAGGCCGGCTCAACTTGTGGAGGAGCAAGAGGGCGGTTGTGTTGCAGCTTCCTGCAAGGCTCACAGGGCCAGCCAATTGGGCGACTAGTTTGAGCAGGGATGAGGCTGAGGCATGGCATGACGGCAGACTCATGACCTACAACTGTGGCATCCTAGAGTAGGGTGGCCTGGTGCAGCAGACTGAGGCAGCAGGTCAAGCCCGTTCGTCGCCACCTAGGCGCAGACAGAGCGGCATGTGCTGAGTCTGGGGAGCAGATTGAGAACTGGATTGGGTTCTCCATAGGGCGATATGGTGAGGACGAGCATATGAGCAGCAGACAGGCGAGCAGCATGGCACCAACTCACACACGCAGCAGCAGAGTACCACTTCAAAAGAACAGAAGGCAAAGCATCTCATTGGCAGCGAGGAGCCCCGCAGCCCCTCATAGCCACCAAATCCTCGAGATGATTGGGTCGAGGATTGGGGATCGAGGAACGTGGTATGCTACTTGAGGAAGGGTTTCCCAAGGCCCGAGATTTTCTCATGTTCCCGGAAGGGGATCAATGTTCTCGAGATGAGGAACATGACATCGTACCACGCCCAGGTGACAGCCCTTGTCATGCCGTTCACCCTCGTTGCTCGCCACTGTCACTATCGTTCGCATGGTGGGTCACAGGAATGATTGGATAAGGTGGGCAGTTTGGTCTTTGCCTATTTTCCAAAAGTTTTACTGTTTAATCTGGTTCCATGACGTCCATCTAACAGACATCCAAAACAGGGGTAAATGGTAGCTTCAATTCAAAAAGGCGTGGGCAAAATCACAGAGTTAAAACAAGAGGGGCAAAAGCACCGTTGAACTCCTGAATACGAGCAAAATCACCTATGTCCCTAGAACAATCTAGCTAGTTTACCTTTATTGGCATAGCATGCTCTGGTGAAATTATCTGTTATGCAATGGTAATTATTGGATTTGCATTCAATTACACATGGAAGTCTTTAGCCTACTCTTCCCTTGGCTTAAGGAAACTTTAGGTTCCATTTTGGGCCATACCGCCATAGCTAGTTTCGAGTTGATTATTAGTTTCATGCACTGAAATCACATTAATAAGTCAATTTCTATGAAAGCATGCCATTGACCTATTTTTAGAACTGTACTCATGATACTATGTGAAATCACATTATCTCGAGTTATTCAAAAACGGAAAATTTTTAGAGCGGTTGCCAATAATCATGATACTATGTGAAATCACATTATCTCGATGAAGCCCCTAAAAGTTATTCAAAAATAGTAAAAACGGAAAATCTTTATTGTTAAACAGTTGACATGCCAATAATGTTGAGTTTAAATGATTACATAGATTAGTCCATTATACTAGTGAGGTGCCTACTAATATGTAGCAAAAACTTCTATCATCAATCTATCTAAAAGGTTGCCATTCTTGGTTCTATGCATGCAGGGTTGAGTAGGAACTACGAAGATCCTTTGTCACAACCAATGAATGGTGAATTCTGTGTGAGTGCGTGTTGTGCGCTTCCAGTTTTCACTTGTGATTTATTCTTCTGATGATTTATTCTCCTCGTATGTTAAGGGTGTGTTTCTACTTTCTTTATTTAAAGAACCTAGCAGTGTGTGTGTGTGTGTGTGTTGTATGGGTTTTTACCCATTTTTCTTAATATAATGATACGCAACTCTCTTGCATATCCAAGAAAAAAAAAAGATGGTTAGTTCCTTTGTCATTACTTAAGGTAAACATGAATTAGAATGTAGTTTGCTTGGGACTATTGAAATTTCTGTACGATAACCTATTTGCTCTCTATTAATGTAAAAGTATGCAGTTCTCATATGTATTGTTCAAAATGAAGAGTGATTTGTGAAGAGCGCTACCATACAAACAACTCATTTGTACAGTGGCGTTATAACCAGGAAATCAAATGGTTCACATCACTTGGGGTGGTGGTTCACTTGTTAAACTGAATGATTTGGATTACCTGGTGGCGATGCTACTGTATAAATTGATTCTATTTGAAGCACTTCATATTTGTAAATTGGTTGTGCACTTTTTTTTTTTTCTAATTCATAGTGGATTCAGTTTGCTATAGTAGTGTCTCAGTACCCAAGTAGTCCTTGTGCCATTCCGGGCCTTAAAACCTTTTGCATCATCAAGTTGATT